CCACACAGCAATGACAACTAAATAAAATGAAGATGTTTATAGTATAAACTTTATTATACCCAGTGTTTCGGATCCTAGAAATCTGCTCCGGTGACTTAAATCCAGTCCAATGACTTGCCAGCCAGTCACGTTTTTGTGGAATATAGTCTTTACTTGCCCCGAATTCTTCATTGAGGATAGAGCTTACTTTCTTCTGAACCTTGTCAATATCTTCTTGGGTTACCTGTCCAGATTCCAAAAGCTTCTCCTGATAGATTTGAAGCGATGAGGGATGATTGCGTATAACCTATCAACAAAAAGTAACATCCGTTTAAGAAATAAATACACAAAAAAAATCTTAACAGGAACTCAGAAGGACAATAAAATAGCCAGACCTTGTACATTTTTGGTTGAGTGAATGACGGCTCGTCTATCTCATTATGCCCAAAGCGACGATAGCATACTAAATCAACAACAACATCAGAATGGAAAGTTTGGCGCCACTCCGCAGCAAGCTCACATACATGAACTACTGCTTCAATGTCATCCGCATTAACATGGAAAATCGGGGCACTTAAAGCCTTTGCAACATCAGTGCAATACTGTGAAGACCTTCCAGCTCTGGGATCGGTTGTGAAAGCCACTTGGTTATTCACCACAATGTGAATCGTTCCACCAGTACAGTAGTTAGGAAGTGCACTAAGATGCAGGGTTTCATAGACCACACCTTGTCCGGCAAAGCTACCATCCCCATGGATCAAAATACCCATGTTCTTTGTTCTGTTCTCATCTTTCGTGTAGTACTGTTTCGCTCTGGTTTTACCCATCACAACAGGATCTACTGCTTCCAAGTGACTGGGGTTTGCTAACAAAGACAAGTGAAGATGTTTACCTCCTCTAGTTGGACGATCATAAGATGTACCCAAGTGGTATTTCACATCACCTGTCCCGGTGTAGAGCCCAACTTCATCTACTGGCCTAGTACCACCACTAAACTCGCTGAATATCTGACGTAGAGGTTTTCTGACAACATTACCCAGAACATTAAGTCGACCCCTGTGGGGCATTCCGATAACTATGTTCTCTACCCCGAGATCTGCAGCCCTATCAAACATCTCCTTCATTCCAGGAATCAAAGACTCTGCACCTTCGAGTCCAAACCTTTTAGCTGTGGTCCACTTAGAAGCCAAGAAATTCTCAAACTGTGTGCTCCAGGTAAGCCTATCATAAATAACCACTCGACGCTCGCTGTTGTACTGTCGTGGTGTTGGAGTCTCGATCTTGTCTCTCAACCAGTTACATTTGTCCCTATCAGCAATGTGCATGTACTCATACCCAATAGTCCCACAGTAAGCTTGCTCAAGCCTCGACAGTATAGCCCTTAGTGTCTGAACCGGACGGTTCTCAGACAGAAACCCGGACATCTGCCATACACCCAGAAAGAATTCCCGGTCAAGATCAGCCTCTGTAAATCCATAAAGACCTGGCGTGAGATCCTCTGGAATCTCTCTCTCCTCTAGACCCAAAGGATCCAGCTTAGCCTTCATATGTCCATTAACCTGGTAAGCTCTGACAAGCAACAACAAACGCATACTTTCTTGAATGGTTTGTCCCGAGATTCCAGGAGATGTGGCGGCTTGACCCACAAAATTCCTAAAGAAGTTATCCCATGACTCATCAACACTGTTGGGATCAGCTTCCCAAGCTCTTTGTAACTCCTCTAAATACACACTGCTTGTTCCATCTAAGAAGCTATCAGTTAGCTTAGAAAGCGGCACCGGACGTGGAACAGGCGCAGCAGACTCAGCCTTAGATTTGAGTATCGTAGAGTGAAAACATCTAGTTTGAGAAGGCAACACCCTTGTTCTTGCAACATATGAACCATACTGAGACTGAGACAGTGTCCTTCTTATGGCAAGTTTTGCCAGAGAGGAACCAGCTCTAAACCAAGCCATAGCTTAAACTAATCTATCTGCAACAATAAATCATACAAAACCACGTCTCGTGAAATTTCAAATGC